TTACTTAAAAATATAGGGAAAAAAATATAATAGGATATTTACACTTTTGAAAAAGGACGTCTCTTGTTTGAAAATTTTCTTTTCTTATACGTAATTAAAAAACATTTCTTGTTTCCCCCCGAGGAATACACGTACAATTGAACAAAAGCTTTTGTCGACAAGAAAATCTTGGCTTACTTTGAGGTCTAAAGATCACTTTCCATTGATTTTCAAACAATGAGGTTCAAGGCTTGAAGAATTCTCGCACTTTTTATGTTTGTTCTTTGCCAATTTTTTTTTTTTTTTTCGAAAAAAAAACTTTTTGTAATATTGTCGCATAAAACAGAATTTTTTTTTTTTTATTCATAAAAATGTTTTCGCTTCCTTGTCTTTATTTAAACTTAAAGGTAACGAAATAACTGAACTTTTTTTTTCTTAATTATATGCAAACACAGTTAGAGACTATATTTTAAAACGGAAATAAAAAGAAATATTAAAAGGTATTTTCAAATTTTGTAAATTATAAAATTTGTTTGAAGAAAAATTTTTTTTTTTTGAAACATCTTATGAGATCCTTTTAATCTTGATTTTTTACAAGCGAAAATTGTTGCCTTGCATATCCTATTTAAATTCTGAAATATGTTCTCGGTATAGTTCAAAACAAGCAAGGTATCTGAGACAATTTATAGCATTGAAATGTCATCGCATGTAAAGCAAGTATAACACACAAGGCGTGAATTTGCAAAATATATATATATATATCTCTCTCTTATGGTTTTTTTTTCTTTTTTTTCCTATTGGAGCGACGACTCTAGTAGCTGAATTCATTTCCTGTTTAATAAACAACATTTTTTTTTTCAAATCTAATCAAAAACCTGTATTTTGCTATATTATATGTATAATTCTCGTTGATAATTTATTACCCTTTAGAAGATATCTTATCTTTCAGAGAAACCCTGTAATTGTTTCATTTTACTGATTCTAACGTTGGAAATTTAAATTCTCATTTCATAAATCATTTTATAGATTCATAAAAAAAAAAATTTGCATTTTAATTTAAAAGATCTTGACTTTTTATGTTTAGGAAAATTACAGAATAGTAATCAGGTTATACATAATTGCCCTCTGTAAAATAATTATTTTTATTTATTTTTTTTATATTATTTTTTTTATATTATTTTTTTTATTTATTTAATTTTAATATTCATTTTTTTATACTATTTATTTTTATTATTAATTCTCTTTTATTATATAAAAGTCTAGTAAATGTCAATCTAAAAGTCATAAAGAAATTGATGATCTTTATCAATGAAACATATTTTATATATAACACTTTCATTGACGGAATTTTCATGAATGAATCTACAACACACGATCTCTTGCGTGCATAATGCAGAAAGTAGTCTCTAGACATGGCATAAGAAATGAACTTGATTGACCTACTTTTTCAATTATATATATAGAATAAACAAAAAAAAAGCCTCAATTATAACTTTAGTATCAATTTGTTTTATCAAAAACTTTCATATTGCGAAATTCCTCGATTTGTTTTGACTTTGAATAGAGAAAAACTGTCAAAAATTTTAAAATTTATCATTTAAATTTTAAATATTGTTTGTTTGTATATACTTTTTTCGTGACTTTGAATTACAATATACCTCTGAATTTATTTCTCGTAGCTTTTTACAATGGATATTTTATCTATAATATGTAGAGTAAATATATTTTCTATGTCAGGAATCGATAACTCCATTTGCAAGTTTTATGTGTCTTGTAGAAAAATTAAATTTATTTTTTTAACGAAAAATGCAATAATTATAATTTTTTTTTCCTCTCGAAAGATAAAATAATTCCTTTTTTTTTCGACATATGAGACAATTTAATACTTTGTTTTCGTTTTAATTAGTTTGCGACTGTCGTCTCTTGACTGATAAATAATCTTGTGACAAAAATAATTTAAAAAGTGTAATTATTTTTTTCGGATTAGAATATCACAATTTATTGACTACCAAAGAGCAGAGTCGATAAAAAAAATGAATTTTTATTCTTGTTTCGCAATTTTTGTTCCATTATAAACTTGGTTTGGAAAAAATAAAATTTTCTAAATTTTATTTTTACTATTTCGCCTCAAGGATTTTTTAGTTTTTTTTTTTTTAGTTAAAAAGAAATATCGAAATTAATATGTGCGTTTACTTTAATTTAAATTTTACACCAAGTTGCGTTTCGTTCATTAGTGATTAATCTTATATAGAGAAGCTTTAATTAAACGCGAAATTGTTATTTTCTTGCCTGAAAATGACGAAAAGATAAAATACTATGAGAAATTTTCGCTTCGAGCTTTTAGAGTATATTAATTATATATATAAGTAATGCGCTATCTTTGTTAATACTTTAAGAAAGGTTTTAGAAAAAAATAGAATTAAAAAAAATTCAGTCAACATACTAGAAAAGAAACTTTTCTTTTTCGTTTAAAAATTTTATATTTCATTAATTTTTCGTAAAAATATGTAGAAAAATAATAATTTATTATTTCTAATAATTGACAGTTGGTAATTAGTTAAAATGTTAATGAAATTTTTTTTTCGATTCATTAATTATTAAAGTGTATATAATTATTGCTTTTTATATATATATAGCTAATATTTATATTTGTCATATTGTTATTTTCTCATCAAGAGAGATATAATAAATTTTAATTATATATTAAAGTGGCAAATATAAAAAAATAATTAATACAATGACATTGTATAACTTTAGACAAATAGATAATTATATTTTGTTTTGAGTTATATTTTTGGTTGACACACTCTTTTTTTTTTATCTGTCTTCATGACGTCACCATTGCGTCAGTTTTCTTCCGCTTTGTTCCATGACCCTCGACATCGTCTGAGAGTCAGCTTTAGTTTTCCACCACAAGGGAAAAAATCCACTACTTTTTCTTGATAAAAAAGAAAAAGGAATGCATCCTCGGAGAATTTATATACAATATTTTTTTTTTTTTTGGTTTTTACCATAAAATCTCAGGGGGAAAAATATTTTTTTATTTGGAAAGGAAAATTTAAATAGAAAGTCTGCTTTTTTGAACTAATATTGAATTAATTATATATTTAATTATTCTATGATATTTACTATAAATTGTATAACTACCATTACAACATTGTAACTAAAAATTGTCACTAACATTAATTGCAACCACCAGAGATTTCTGGTTGGAAAATTTTGCACTTTATGTAAATATTTTTTTTTCATGGAAGCGCAGTGTTGGGATCATTTAATGATTTTTGATTCGTGCATTTTTAGTTGAAAAAAGACTCATAGAAGAGTGAGAAGAAACTGTAGTTGATGGGATGGTCGCCATGACGATGGCTATCGATCCTTCAGGTTATACAACCTGCCTCTTTACAAAGACTACTGAAGCGCATTTTCTTTTTCAAAGATAAGCTTTCTCAAAAATTAGTCCGTTATCTCCGTTCTTCATTACACTTTGAGAATACGTTATACATATATCACTAATGTTGACTTATTGAAACTTTTTCACTTTAACAAATGAGAAAAGTTTTTTTTAATAATTAAATTGAGTATTAAAAAAAAAACAATAATTAAATTCAAACAAATCAATTCCAAAGAAATGAATTTAAATAAATAAAATAATAAATTCAAGCAAATGAATTTAAATAAATAAATTCAAAAGGAAGTACATACTCTCAATTTGAAAGGCAATTATTATATTATTTTCAATATGAGAGTATTATTTCTTTTGTAAAAAAATAGGAACAAAATCTCTCAAACGAAGAATATTCTTTTTCGTCCATTTCAAATTAATGATGAATTAGTAAAACTGATAAATATAAAAATGTTCCTTTATTTTTATTATGTTTGATTGTTATCTTCGTTATTTCATTTATTTTTCATGAATATGGAACAATTGAATTTATTTCAATTCTCTCCTCGAGTGTTTCTTTGATTTAATCGGCAGTTTATTGAAATGGAATAAATATTCGTTGCTCTAAAAGGCCAATGTTTTTTAATTGGAATCAATTGCCTATCTTTCAAATAAATCACAACGGTGGACTCGTTTGGAATTTTGTATCGTCAAATTTATATAATATCTATATGTAGAAAATATTATACATTTTTCCCTAAAAAAAAAAAAAAAAAAAAAAAAAAAATTATACAGAATTAATGTACTTTTTTTCATAATTGAATGTTATAACAAAAAGCACTGAAAATAAATTCATTTGTATTAAATAATTATTATTTGTGCCAATTAAATGTTATTTAATTCAAATACTGTAATTATTGGTTCAAAATTTCAAATAAAATTTATTTAATTCAATTAAAATTATTTAAATCAAAGAAAAATTATTCGGTTCATGTAAATATTACTTATGGAACAAATGAAAATTATTGGGTTCAAATTAATTATATTTTTGGTTCTAGTAAATATTTATTTGGTCCAAGTAAATATTTATTTGATAATAGTCAAATAAACGATTGTTTGAATCAAATTATTTTTTTTTAATGTAAGTATAAAAATGATTACTTACATAAATTATTAAGTGAATTTTTTTGTTACTTCTTCAACATTGGTCTAATTAGCGATTTATATGTTTTGAGAAATAAACAAATTGTTTCAAGTTTAGGTTGAATGTTTTCTCATTTAAATTGAAATACCAGAGCAAAACATGGGAGAACGTTGAAATTCTATTATTATTATTCTCAATGTATATTCTGTGCACTGTCGATTATATGTACAAATTTTGTGTATTCAAATTGTAGCTTATGCTTAATTAAACAAATGAAAGCATAAATAGGGTCATTGATAGATTGCATTCATGGTAAAATTTCGAATTTCCATGGATTTAATTCGTTTTCCTATTTATGTGAATTTATTTGTTCACATTTTCAATTATTAAGTTATATATAAAGAAAAATATTTGTCATTTATTTATTTATACGATTATTATTTTTTATTATTAATATTTTTATTTTATAATATATAATTTTTTTTTCTGTTCTAGGTGAGCATTCACAAATCAATTATAAGGGATAATCATGTGAGTAGAATTTTCTCTTTCATTATAATATATTGATTAATATTCATAGGGGTAGGTGCCCTATAGCCAATAATAGTTTAACAGTAGATAATTATTTTTTATAACTGTACTTTGTACAAAAGATCATTATTTTTCTTTTGTTTTATTTCAATAATAGTAATTAAAATAATAGTAATTAAAATATTAAAATACTAAAAAATATTTATAAATACGTATTTAAATAATAGGAAAAAATATTAATAATAATTTATTACAATATTTATCAATTAATTTAATATTTAACAATTTTTTTTTTTTTTTTTTTTTTATTAAAAATTGGCAGAAAAATTGAAGAAAAGTCGATGTGATATAAAAAAAAAGAATTTAACTAAAAAGAATTATATATCTATACTTAATACACAGAACTTTTAGATATGCATAAGACTTTGTAAGCTAAACCGTTAGGATGCAAATTTATGTTAATGGAAAGTCTACATTTAATAAAGCCGGGCTTTAGAGATTCAGAAGTGAACAAGGATTTAAAAAAAAATAAAATAAAAATCCTGTTATAAAAAGACAGCAAGAATTAAAAAGCCCTATAAAAATAATTGGCTCCAAAAGTTTTATTGATGAAAATTAAAAAAAAAAATTTTTTTTTTTGTTCACATTGGAGAAACAATTATAATTAAATTATCTTTATACTGAAAATATTAAAATACTAAAAATATGAAATTGGTTCTAAAAAGAATCAAATGGGTACTGAAAGTATTAAAGGTACTAAAAGTATGAAATTGATGAAAATTTTTATATAATGATATACTTTTTGGTATCAATTTGATACTTTTAAATTAATTTAATAAAAAAAAACTTTTTCTTCATTTTTCAATCTGTTTATCATATATTGATTTTCTCAGTTCGTAAAATATTTTCCTGATGATGTTAAACATTTTCATGTGTGTGTATATATATATATAGGAGATTTTGTGAGAGCCTTCTTCTCAAGGAACCCTCACGTTCCTTGAGTTATTGTAATCTCCTGTAAAGCATTAAATTACATCGTAACTATATCTTGGCATATACTTTGAGGAATACGCAACAAGATTATCACACTCCTAAGTTTCTAATAGAATATTATCGTAACTTATGAGCATCCAAGGCGTAAAACCGTGACATTAGATAACAGTGTATATATTAAATTTTCAAAGAGAAATGAAATGTAAAATTTTATACGTTCAATCATATTTACATAGTTTTCCTATTATTTCCATCTTAGTTCGATTTTTACCCGAAGTATATATGAATGAAGCTCTAAAAATTAATTCATAATAATTTTCATTTCCAAATTTAATTATTCAGAATTTATTTTTAGATTTTTATTTCTTCATAATTCTGTATAAAATAAAAATTCGATGTTTTAAAGAATTCAAAATAAATCAAAATTCTTTCTGTAAAATGTAAATTCAAACACATGAAAATTCAGATAGAAAAGAATTTTTTTTTTTTCTGTAAAATATAAAAAGTTCTTTGAAATTATTATTTTCTGTTTTAATGAAAATTTGAGTCAAATTCGATGACAAAAAAAAAATCAGCCTAAAGTAAATTTTAAGGTAATTCTGTGAAATAAAAATTTAAAAAAATTAATTTTAGAGCTTATTTTAAATTTTTCTCTCGATTTTTAAACATTTTTGAAGTATTTAAAAATTTTTAATGTAAATTTAAAAGTTTAATTTAAATTTTTAATCGAAATGAATTTCTTGATATAATAAATATGAACCGTCAATTGAAAGCTGGAAATATTTGACGTGAACTCTGTTGCGGTTAATTAGTAATGGAATGTCGAGATCCTATATATATTTGTAAATTCTTGAACTTAACCACTCTGAGATTCAAGCAACAAATATTGAAGGGTCATATTCGCTATGCCGGTAATTTCATCATACACGTGCCGAGCATAACGGTCAACTTGAGGAAATATGCCCTGAATTTAACGACAGTTGACGGAATAAATTATATGAAAAAGCGGAACTATAACATTTGTGAAAAAATATTTCATATTTTTTTTTTATCACGATAAAGACATTATTATAAAAAAAAAATGTAAATATAAATTTCGTGAAAATGAGAAAATATATATATTTTTTTTTTTGCCGTACTTTTTCATCGCTATGTAGTAAGAAATTGTAGGGGTTGTAATGAAACTATTACTCTTCATGGTAATTGTACTGGTTTATAACAAGGTATAAGGTACTATGAGAGCGGAGTCAAAATTTATGTACCTACTTATTTTCTTTCATGGTTATACATAAGAAACCCAAGAGGTTTCCGGTTGTTGTGAAGAAGTTGACTCGATTTTTAAAAAGAAGAATTCAATAAATTTAAAAAATTTTTTTTAAATAATAAAAATAAAATTATTTGATAGAGTATATGGGTTACATTTTTAGAATATGACGATAAAAGGAAATTGCTGAACCCTTCGACTTCTTTATGATTTTTTTTCGCACGAGTGAACTTTTTCCCTCAACGATTTCAAGCTGCTTCCCGTCCTAAAAACAAGAAACTTTCTCATCCACCGTTGCAACCCTTATTTCTAGGAAGAAAATAATCCAACAAAAGAACTGTTTCTTTATTTTCATTTCTCTTTTTCCTCTATTTCTCTCTCTCTCTCTCTCTCTCTCGGCATAACTCCTTTTGCAATTGCGACACTCTTCGGGTATTCTCTCGTTTTTCAACATTTTCACAGTGATATTTTAAAAATGAAAGACCTATTATAATGTCTTGATATATAAATATATATTTCCTCTTATTTTTATTTTGAAATAGGTCAATTATGAAAATCGAACTAAAAATTAGTGACTCAATTTTTGCTTTTGTATCATTAAAATTTTTTTTTATTATAATTAATTATATTTTAATTCAAATGCAGAAAAATTTAGTTAAATTTTTTTTAGATAAAGCATTGGCAAAAATGGGGAATTTTGTTCTCTTTATTAAAAATTAATATTTGAGTTTTACTTCAGTTTTTAGTTTAATATATAAATTGCGAGAATAAAATAATCTCTTTTGGATTTTAGAATGAATTTTCCATTTTGTGGAAATGTTAGTTTTTAATTAAAAAAAAAACTGTAATTTCGTCTCTTGTGTAATGAGTGCAAAGTAGAACAACTCACGTTTTCATTTACAAACCGTTTTCAGTAGTGAAAATTACTATAGTCAGACGTGAAAGTAGAACAAACGTTTATAAGTCAGACGAATTTTGGTTCTTAGTTATATTCTCTTAATTTTATGGTACATTTAAAATTTGTAATTTAATCGCAAGAAAATTACAATTATTTTCAATTTACAACAAATGTTTGTAAAATCATATATGGAAAAAATCATAATCATTCGACAAATATTAATATTTGTTGAAATTACAAATATCTTACGGATAAATGATTTTATTTACTGGATAAAAATCATGATCGCTCTGACATTTACTGGTTCTTACAAAAAAAATATATATATATATATATCGGCAATAGAAAGGGGAAGACAATGGAGTTAAAAATGTCTGATATATATTGGTCACGAATATATGTATATATTCTTGCGTGTCACCCGACCTGAAACCATTCAACTGTAACCGGATTTCTGGAGCGCTGTTCAAATAGTTCTTGCTGATCTGTCATTTTGAAGTGCATAAATTTCAAGTGATTTCTGTAGACATTTTTAAAGTAAAATTTATATTTGATAGAAGGAACAAATTTTTTTTTAAAGCATTTATTAGTGGAAATTTCTATTTAATTTTGAGTCATTTTTTACTAAAACCAGATTTTTTCTAAAATTTTAGTTAAAAAAATATTACTAAACCAAATAGTAATGTTTTACTAAACAGTAATGTGGAAATTTTCTACTAAATTTAAATTAGTAAATGAATTCAAAAATTTCTAATTTTTAGTAATTTTTCACTAAACCTTTAGTAGAAAAAAAAATTACTAACTAAATCATAATTTGATTTGATTATATTTCCTGATTTAATTATCTCCGTTTATGATAATATATTTTTTTTTTACTATTTATTGATTTGTTTTCGTTTATATTTCCTGATTTAATGACCTCCGTTTATGGCAATATTTTTGTTACTGTTTATTGATTTGGTTTTGATTATATTTCTTGATTTAATGACCTACGTTTATGGCAGTATTTTTTTTTTTTTTTACTTCAGGAATTTGATAAAAGTAAATAAAAATGTAGTTAGTGGCCTAGTTTTACTTTTGACACAAGTTTATGAGTTCAACATTGAAAAAGGAATGATTGTTTCTCTGAAACTCAATGTGACTATGACTTTTTAAGTGCAAGTTTAGCATACACAGGAAAATCGATAGACCAGTGAACATTAAGCAAATGTTAGCTTAGTCTCCTTAAGAACATTGCAAAATTTTTAATATGACCCTTTTAGATATTCTTTATTTTCATACAAAAATATTATTACTATTATTTTTATTATTATTATTTCACTGAAAAAATTGTATGGTCCGATCAATCAAATGTTCGGTTACTCTCTAAATTTGAATTAGTAAAACTGTTTACTAATTTAAATTAGTGACTCACTTTTTGCTTTAGAATTAGTTAAATTTTACTAATTGTTAGTAAAATTTTACTAATTCAGAAGCAAAAAGTGAGTCACTAATTCAAATTAGTAAATATTTTTACTAATTCAGATTTAGAGAGTAGTACAACCGAACTTTGGTTAGGCTAATTAAACAATTCGGTTGGCACAACCAAAGTTTGGTTGTACTGACCAAATATTTTTTTTAGTCTTCATTTGTTATTTTTATCATTAATATTATTTACTGTATATGATAGAAAATTAATTTTTTTCCTTGCTCTCTAAATCTGAATTAGTTAGCTACTAATTTAAATTAGTAAGAATTTTCACTAATTTTTAGTCACTTTTTACTAAAACTTTAGTAAAAAAAAATTTTAACTATTAAATCAAATAGTAATATTTTAGTAAAAATTCTTACTAGTATTAGTAGTTC